TTTCAGTAATTCCTCTCGGTTACATTACCCTTGATCACACCCTACCAGGCCTCCTACACCCTCCTCACCACCTGTTTGGATCACTTGTTCCCTTGCCCTGGGTTTGTTAACACCACTTTTTTCCCCTCAACCTCCCCCTCTCCCATGTCCCTCCGGAACTGTTGGTCCCATTCTTTTCTCCTCCAGATTGTTCATCCAGCTTATTTTAGACTTGCGGTATGTTTTTGTTATTAACATGAGTATTTTGTTTTTTTAAAGTGTGTCCTCAGCCTGGAAGAACTATAGATAAACAAAAGGGAGTGGCCTGCGTGGGGACAGGGTCAGCAAGGGTTGTGTACTTGTTCAACGTATGCAGAGATGAGAGCCTGTGCAGAAGTAAATATGACTTTGACAGACGGTGGGGAGCAAGCAGAGTACCTATAGCCAGACAGGAAAAGAATGGATGGATGACACAGCAGCTGAGCTTTTAAAAGAGCCTCCAAAGGAAGGAGTGGAGTCCTTGCCATTGACTATCTGCTTGTGGACATATGGTATACTGCAGGAGCCTCTGGCCAGCTATTCCTGAAGCTTATTTCATTATCTTCTCTTCTGCTCTTCAAGCCCTGTTATGGGAGGTCCCAGGTGGGAGTACTTCCTGTATTGGGTTAGTTCTCCTTTCATCTAGGGGAGAAAGGGCTGAATTGATTGCTGTCAGCCTAGCCCAGGCGTGAGGAGCCTGCCTGAGGATGGGTCTTTTGTTCCACCTCCCTTTCTGAGGAGGAAGCTTTGTAGTGGGGTCTTCAGTGAAGAAGAATTGGTGGGGACTCCAGAAACTCTGGGCAGAGCTGAAATTTGTTGTTGGAACTGCTCATGGCCATAGAAATAGTGTGTTCGCCCTGGAAGCTACCCTGGGAGGGGACCGGGGACCCTGGCACCTAAAGGTATAAGTGCAGGTGTAGATTTGACACAGCCAAGCGATGTAAGCAATGTTTCTTACAGACTTAATAATACTTCCGAGAGTTTCTCTTGTTTTTATCTGTCAGACACTGCTTGAGGGAGTGTTTCCTTAGTCTTTGCCCACAGTTGCAGGAGTGAGGGAAGGAGCGAGCCCTGCTCAGGACTAAATGCTCATCGTATTGAGGGTGAGGGACCCTATGACTAAGGACTATCCCAAGTGAGAGCAGGTCTTAACTTGGGTTGTGGGCCCTGCCCTATGAGGTGACATGACGTATAGAACAGCCTGGTGACTCTCCCTCCTTCTGTCATACCTGACTGATTTTTTTTCTTCTGTGTAATAAGCTCCAGACAAGGTGCTTTTCCCCAGAGGCCAGTGTACAGTGTTTTCCTGAATATTATCCCATCTCTTAGTGGTAAATAGCACTGTATCAGGGTGCTGCTTAGGGGCTACTTGAAGCTCTCGATTTTTGCAAGCAAGATTGGAAGCTTCACATTGGGCTGTAAAACCAGGGCTTGAGCCAGCAGCTGGAGAGAATCCAGGACTAGAGTGTTTTGGGGCTTGTGGGTGGAGAATGGAGGGGAGGGGCAGGAGGGCAGAGCTACACAAGCAGGCAGTCGGCTGCTTTGGCTTTGCTGTAGGCAGTGAGGACTTACTTCAGTCTGCCTTAGGGCCGATTGGCCACCATTGCTGTAGAGTGGAGCCTGCTGCCTCGCCACCCTGACTTATCAGCACTGCACCCTGAATATTCCAAGTGGCTGTTGTGTTGTCTTTTCCCTGGGAGGCAAGTCTCCTCCTTGTCATCCCCTCCTGCTCCTCCCCCGTTCTGTGAGGGATGATGCCGCTCTCTATTGCACGGCTCAGCCGGCTGATGTCACTGGCAGCGGGAAGCATCAGCAGCCTGATCACATGCTGTCCCAGTCTGTAATGCAGACGGGATAGGGGTGTGTGTGTCAAGAGGGGGCTGTATGGCAACTGCTCTTGCTCTAACACCCCCAAAAGTACAGAGGCAGTGGTTGCGGCATCCAGTTAGCTTGGATATCTGGTCCCCAAGGCTGGGGAAACTATTATTAATAATAGTTATTATTGACAATATTGGGGAAAACAACCTTTAACTCTGGGGTTCCACTGTCTATCCTCTCGTCCAAAGCAGACTTCCAGGACTCCGAAGAAACAGTTACGAACAGGATGCTTTTCCCCACCTCTGCGCAAGAATCTTCCCGTGGCCTCCCAGATGCAAATGACTTGTGCCTTGGCCTGCAATCCCTCAGTCTGACGGGCTGGGAGAGACCCTGGAGCACCCAAGACTCAGATTCCTCAGCCCAGAGCAGCACACACTCGGGTGAGTGCCGGAGGCGAGCGAGCGGGGGGAGGGGGCATGTGGGGTGGTGAGCGAAGATATCCACAGCAACAGTTGTTCTTTCCCCCTTGCATCACTCGCCCCTCCCTCCACACACACAGCATGGAGCTGTTTTGCAAGAGATGTAAATGCTGGCTGTAAGTGTGGCAGGACAGATGGTTGCATGTAAAGACAGGCATGGCTTTTCCACTTATCCAGACAAATTCCCTGGAGTTGATGGTCTGCACCTGGGGTAGCCCTGAGAAGAGTCCCCAAGGTGACAGCCTTATGCAGAAAAGATCCAGCTAACCCCCTGGTGCCCAGGCCTGTCTTAGAGATGATGAAGCAAAACACTTTAGGTGGGGGAGGGGACTTACAGGGCTGATCGCTGGATGTCCAGATTTTCTTTCTAGGTGACTTTTAAAACTAGGGAGCATATGGGTAGTTTCTGCATCATGACAAGGAAATAATTTTACCCCTGGGCAAGGTTAGGTAGTGCTGGCATATTGGAATTGACAGCATAAGAGGATTGATCCCACAAATCGGGTAGGCAGGGTAAGAGGGATAGGGTGACCCCCAGCTATAAAGGCTTTTTTCCTTTGTATTGAGGGTAACCAGCTAGATTAAGAATGAGCAACTACCCTTTGGGGATCTCTTGTCACCTTGGTATAGAATACGAGGGGACTGATTGAAGGGGTTTTGTGGTAGCTCGTGAACTGTTTCTGTGCAAACACCTTCTCCACTGTTGCCCGTTTATTGGCTTTAGTGATACAAGCTGATGGTTTAGCTAGACCCAAGTCTTGGCGTATTTGGGACGAAATGTGAACTTGAGAAATATTCTAAGTATACTTTAAAAAACCTACATATTTCACTTTATACAAATAATAACTTAAGAAAAAGAGTACTAGCAGAGGAGGCTGTAGGAAGATGGAAAGGTAGGTAGTAGTGGTGAGATGAGGGGAAACCATTTGCTTCTGGTGCTGACAGTGGGATAAAATGATTCCTTGCCTTGCCCATTCCTCCCCCCACCCCCACCCCCACTGGGGCAGCAAGGTACTGTCTAGTTGATGTCTGTGGCCTCTACCCTGTTTGGTACAGGCCTTATTTTAGATTGCTTTGCAGAACCTGGAACTGTTTTGTCTTTGTGGCATTTTAATGCCCAGTTGTTTATGTAAAATCTCTTGGTTGGTGAAGGAGGAGGTTGGAATTTTTTTTTTTTAATGTAACGTGGGTGGGAAAGACTGCTTTAATTTTAAGAAAATGCCTCTAGATTGAGGTAGGGTTTCTTAAGGGTTGTCTTTCAGCTTATTTAGTCCTTTTCAGACAGGTTGGTAACTGCCCTGTTCCCCCTGTGCAAAGAAGTGTGTGGTATCATTGATATCCTCTGTGTGGAGAACCTTGCCTTGGAAGCCCTGGCAGTTTCTTGTGGGTAGTACTACTAAGCCAACCTGGGTTGCCTGTGAAGCTGAACTTGTATACTACCACTGCATCTGAACAAATAACAGAAGAATCCCCTTAAGAGATGGGCGCCTAGCTGTATGCTATAGGGTTTGATAAGGTGTACTCACTTTCAATAGTAACAAGTTGGTCCTGTTTGGGCTCTGGTGTTTCTTAGCTCAAGAGGCCTTCTGCAATGCGTCACATAAAATGTTAAATGGGCCTACCATGGGTCTTAGACCTAGAAGTTATTATATAATTTCACTAAAAATATAACTTGGATCCAACCGTAATTTTAACTTCACCACCACTTCTACTATTTGTCTCTGAATTGGGGATGGATTAGCTTTTCTACATTTTATATCAGTTACATTAGTGATGAATATTACTTGATTTTGTGAGGGGGCTGCAGAATTTATAAAGGACTAGAGCAGTGGTTCTCAATCTGTGGGTCTCGACCCCTTTGGGGGTTGAGTGATACTTTCATAGGGGTTGTCCGATCCATAACAGTAGCAAAATTAAAGTTATGAAGTAGCAACAAAAACAATTTTATGGTTGGGGTTCATCATAACATGAGGAACTGTATTAAAGGGTCGCAGCATTAGGAAGGTTGAGAACCACTGTACTAGAGGCTTGCCACAGCGGCATGATCTTGCTATCCACACATTTAGCTATGAATCAGTATGTACAAGGGGACCTCAAAAAGTTTGTGGGAAAATTCCTATCCATTAATTTCTCCATGAACTTTTTGAAGCCTCCTTGTTTTCCTTTATAAGGGCTAAGGACATAGCCATCTTGATTGCCTTGCTTTGGTTTTTCAATCCATTATGATGGCCACCTCTCTTGCTGATTGAGCACTGGGACCTTTAGAAGTTCCACGCAAGAGTACTGCCTCCTGGAGTGGGATGCGCCCTCCCACCAGCCAGCTGCAGCACCAGATCATGCGCTCTTGCCAGCATTGCTGGAACATGCAGCCCACATTCTAGTGCCTACACTGCCTTTCCTTATGAGGAAGGGCTAGCTCAGTTTCTTCAGTGGAAGGGGAGGGGTTATTTCTAGAGTTCTGGGCACTCGACTATTGCTCCAGGGCAGGGCTTAGGGTAGAAGACTGTCTGACTTGGTCTTCTAGGACATGAAACCATCTGGAATTTATTCTTGTAAACAGTCTGGGACCCTAGGGGTATCCATGGGGCCCAGAGTGCAAGCTTGGTGATACTGTGCCTCCAGTAGCTGTGATGTCGCATTGACTTTTGTAATACCACTCTTTTAAGTATTGAGCAATGTATGGAGCAAGGTTGGAGATAGCAGGACTCTTGACTGAAAATCTTGAATAAATTCATTCTGCAACCATTGAGCACTGGCTATGTGCCAAGCATTGTTAGGCACTGAAGATACATCAATGAATAAAAGTGTTGCTCTTAAGACTCTCCATGGGGGAAGGAGGGAGGGGAAAATGAGCTGATATCAAGGGCTCAAGTAGAAAGAAAATGTTTTGAGAATGATGATGGCAACAAATGTACAAATGTGCTTGACACAATGGATCTGTGTATGGATTGTGGTAAGAGTTGTATGAGCCCCCAATAAAATGGTTAAAAAAAAATCTCCACAACTGTTCAAAGGAAAACATAAGAATGCATACCAAATGCAGAATGATAGTTGCTTTGATAGGAGCCTAATCACATAGTGGTTGTGTGTTGCACTGTGATCCAGAGGTTTGGAAACCACCAGCTGCTCCTTGGGAGAAAGATGGGGCTTTCTAGTTCCATACAGAGTTACAGTCTCAGAAACTCATAGGGCAGTTCTACTCTGTTCTATGAGACGGCATCAACTCATTGGCACTGAGAGTTGCTACGATGAAGACTTACATTTTTTCCCCTAAGGACTGTGCTATTATGACACCCCTTCATTGACTCAGCCTAAAACTGGTCCATAAGGACCATTCTCCAGAGCCTAGGTAGGGTTCCTCTGTTGTTTGAATATTACTGGCCTGGAGTGATGTCTGTCCTGGAGAGTTGTGTCTGCAAAGCCAGCATTGGTTTGGATGTTGGCGCTTTTAAAGGTCTTCCACCTCTAGACTGTGCTACCCAGAGGCCCACCTCTTCCTTTATGCAAAGTATATGTTAAAAGTTAGTTTTCTTTTGAGACGCCCCAGTGGCATGTGTCCAGGCGACCTTTGGTCCTATTTGAAGTGTGAAGTTCCTATAATGGAACAACAGGGCAAGGGAAGCTGTCCTAAATATCCAGGCTAGGATGAAGGGTGGGGTGACTAATAGCTATCATTTATCGACCTTTTCCTTTGCTAAGTGCATCAAGTGATGTTAGTGCTTGCACAGCCCTGTGAAGTGGATACTACTAATACTCTTAAACTTGTTGCATTTATTTCAGCTTATGAGAGTAGATTTGCCCCCAGAAGTATCCAAGGAAGCAAACTGCCATGTCTTCTGTGGAGCAGCTGGTGGGTTCAAACTAAACTCTTGATTACCAGCCCAGTACTGAATCACTGTGCCACCAGGGCTCCTTATTCCTGCCTTAAAGACTAGCAAGTAGATTCACAGAGGTTGTAAAATGTCAAAGTGGCACAACTACTAGAATTGCAATTCAGACCCCCTGTATTGTTGGTTCCAATACTTGTGTTCCTTTGAGCATAACATTACCATGTTGGCAAGAATTCTTATTTCAAGATGGGCCTTCTGTATACAAGGAGCTTCAAAAAAGTGGGGAAATAGGCTATTTAGCCAGAGGTAATTGTGTTTTCTTGCTGAGATTCCTGAAGACTGAGGCACATGATCAATAGTTTTGTCTCCCTTTCACCCTTAAGTGTCAGCTCATCATCTGCATCTCTGGATGGATTTGTCTTCCTGCATTCTCCTTGTGACTCTTTTTTGAGTGCAGCATTACTCAGCAAGAGAAGTAGGGTAACTCCGATAGTCTACTTTGGGGGGGAAACTGAAAATAAGGACTCCTGATGGCTGACTTGTACAGAAGCCCAGCAGGAGGAGCACATGCTCAGTCTGAGGATGTCAGAAGACATGTCCTGTTTTCCTCCCACTCACTTTTAGGAGTTCCTTGGCGATTAGCCTGTTCATTCTCTCCAATTTCTGCTTAGTGAATGGAATATTCTTTGTGCTATATCACTAACCGGCTAGGATAGAAGCCGCTCCTCACTATTTTGCTGCTTCTGCTTTTTTCCCAAATTCTTCCAGTTTTTCCGAGGTAGCCTTCAGAGTTGGGTTGGTCCGCCTTCTGTGTAGAACATTGACTTCCTGGGCCCAACCATGGTTTCCCGACAATCTATCTTGATGGTTTAATAATTCTCTAACAGTGCAGTCCAGGCAGAAGCACAGTACCTGGCTCAAAGGTTTTTAGTAAATATTTATTGCGTGAATGATGATTGCTTGAGCCATGTGTTAATCCTGGGTATTGTTTAGTTCATACAAGTCTCTCCCACTCTTATGCTAAATAGGCAGATTCTTTAAGGACCCCCATAACTTCTAGAGGATGGTGATGCATTTATGGAAAGTTTTTGTTCTATGCTGGAGCATGCATGAGTGCTATCATGGAATCTC